TTTGTCCCTCAGCAGAAGAATAAAGAAAATATGATATATTTATACAATGGAGCATTAATCAGCCATTAAAAGAAATGACATCATAAGATTTCCAGCAAATGAATAGGAGCAGAAAAAAAATCATCCTGAGTGCAGTGTCTCAGACCTAGAAAGAGAAATATGGCATGCACTTGCTTATACAAGGATATTAGCTTTTATGATGATGACAGCCAAGCTACAATCCACAGAACCACAGAGGACAGGCACAGAGTAAGGGACTAGAAGAAACAGATAGCTGTCATTAGGAAAGGGAAGTAAAATAGGTATTTATAGATGGATGGGGGATGTGGAGTGAGGTTATCAAGAAGGGCTGGAAAGGAGAAAGGGAGTAGTGGGAACAATATAGGGGACAGATAGATAAAATTAAGGATCATTTAAGAGTAGCATAGAAACTTGATATAGCCAGTTTCTGAGTGAGGCTTCACTGTGAAGTCTATGACTCTACGTTAATAACGTCAATGGAGACATCTCAAGGGCACGAAGTAAAATATCCTGCTCTAAATACATTTCCTTACCATATAAAACTGCAGATGGAAATGGCTCAAAATATGTCCATTTATGAAACCAATTTACATCTATCTACGCTAGTAAAGTAAGAGGAGCATGAAGGCAAAGACCTGTCCTCTGAGATGAATGTACCTGTTTATCTTGGAAAGATCTTTTCACAGGAAGAGTGGATGTGGGAGGATCCTAAACTTGCCCAGCAGAGATGGCCACAGCTTTTCCTTTGAGAGTTACTCTGTGGGTGACTGTGCATTGCAAGACAACCTCTGGTGCCTCCTTACTGGAGATTTAGGGTAGAGACCTATCAAACTTAGCAAGTTAGACTTGGATACTGATCCTCAACATGCCAATAAAAAGGCATATGATAGTGAAAGGCAGATAGAAATGATTCTGTGCAGCTACACTGGAAAGAGGAACAAGTATGGAGATCTAACGACCACCTAAGTCCATCTTCAGGGCCCTGGCATGCGGTTTGAGCATGAGTTGAGCGTACAAGGTACAGTAACCAAGCAATCCTGGTCAAAGTGTAGGGCCATCATTGACCCACCACTGTTTCCTAGGTCCTGGGCCCATCATGCACATAGTCACAATCTCTCCAAGATAAGCTTCCGCTCAAGCTTTTCCTTCCCCATCATGACACTCCTGGAGTAGTTCCATTCCCTTTAGGTCCACTGTATCAGTAGTTTAAGAACAAAAGCACAGGTATCTCTCTCCAAAATGTTTTCCCTGCTTCCAGGACAGTTACACACACCTTCCTTGCCGCCCCCCCTTTAAAGTTTTTAACTATTTGAATTTGTATTTTATGTGTACAGCTATCCTTTGCCTGCAGGTGTGTCTGTGCACCATGTGCATGCCTTGGTACCTAAAGAGGCCAAAAGAGGATTCGGATCCCCTGGGACTGAAGTTACAGATGGGTGCAAAGAATTAAACCTGGGTCCCATGGAAGTGCAGTGTTCTTAACCACGGAACCATCCCTCCAGCTGCACACTTCTTCCCTCGACCATCCCATGGCTTGTGTTGTCACCAAGTCCCTTTTCCTTTGTGTAACATACAGGTGACAACTATCTGTTCCTCCCCACAAGACTCAGACTTTGCTAATGGCTTCTGTGTCTGTATGCTTCCTGTTAACCTGTCAGAAAACTGTTTATTTCACAGCGTAAAATACCAACATTTTGGAGTGAGAAGAGGAGAATGGTAAGCTTTGCTACACCAGTCCCAGCTTTATTGAAGTGGGAGTTGGAGCTGTTTCCCTTCCTTTGTCTCCATTCCCCCTCTCCTTCCCGCAGCACTCTCTGGTTGGACCCCTGAGGCTCTCATGCCCAGATGGTACAATCCTGTGCAGGTGGCAAGTTCACCCTAGTAACAAATTTACGTTCAGTTTGACTCCCTGTTGCTCCAAGCTGTGAACTCACAGTCACTACCTTCTGGAGGTTGGAGCTCAGCCTCTGCCCCAACAGACGCTGTTTGGAAAGAGTTGAAGCAACTGCTGAAAATAAATGTGGAGAGCTCAGCAGGCATAGCTGTTGAGGAAGGAGATTCCTGGGAGTAGGAAGGACCACAGGAATAGGATTCTGCAAGCTGTTCTTTTTCACTCTTCCCAATCACAGCCTCAAGCCAACTCTGGTCAGTCAGGAGTCTCAGTCGCCTTCGCCTTTTTGCAGTTTGAGAAGATCTCTAAGGTCCCTCGGAAATGTGCAAAGTTTTTCATAGCATCCTTCTTTTTGTTTTAAGATAAAGTCTCTTGTAGCCCAGACTGGCCTCAAAGTCATTATAGGGCCTGAGATGACCTTGACGTTCTGATTCCTCTGCCTCCACTTGCTGACATCACAGGTATGCATCACTCCACCTGCTTTATGTACTGCTGGAAATGAACCCAGGGCTTCAGCGCACCCTCGGCCATCAATCTACCAACTGAGCTACATCCCCAACCTGCCCTAGTCATGTTTCTGTTAAGAGTATCAAGCTTGAAAACATTTCAAAATTCATGTACAGCCACAGTTCTATCCCAACCTGCAGTGCTCAGAGGGGGATTCTGGCCAGGTAGCACCAATATGCTTAATTCTCAAATCCTTAAAGAGAGAACAAGGGAAAGTACAATGGTGCATTGGTCAGTGTTGGTGCCTAGAGTATTCTAGGCTCTCTGTGGACCTCATAAAGCTCACTCCAGTCAAACAAATGTGGCTCTTGTGATACTTTGTCCTGGGTGACATTTGTAGCAAAATACACAAAGGGTGGCCAGTGCCAGAGAGGAGAGGAAAGCTGCTCATGTGGTCTGGCAGAGACAATGAGCTGCAGTTGTGACCAGACAAGAGACAGCTTTTGAGAAAAGATGTTGGCAATGAAAGCAATTAGGGCATTAGAAAAGGAGGAAAGAAACTTCTGAGAATACTTGTAGATATATGCATATACACAATTTAAAATTGAAAAAAAATTTAAGATCCAGTTAATGATTATCTGTAAATATTTAATCTTGGTGACTCAGACACTGACGACCTTACAATGAGAAATTTCTGCTCATCTGACACACACTGGAGAAGATTTAAGAAGAGAGTTACAGGTTGGGAGAAAGCCTTTATAAGTCATCTGTCTGATATACATTTAGGCCTCTTTTTACTGGTTTATCAGGTGTCTTCAGGACTGGCTGCAAAGTCCTCCTCTGTGGCCTAGCAAGGCTGCTCTTCCCGGTGTGTGTGTGTGTGTCAAAGAACCTGCCATCGAGTTCATGTCAGAAACAGTCCCTGTTCCCCTGATTAGGGTACCCACTTGGATACTGAGCTACCAAGGGCTACATCTGATAGGTTGCATCAATACAAGGTCCTTGTTAGTCTCATAAAAGACCCCTGTGCCCAGATATATTTGGTCCTTGTGGAACACCTGTCCTCTCCAGGTCGTATTAACTCCCCCCCCCCCCCTTTTTTTGATTCCCTGCATTCTGCCAGAGGTTTGGTTATGAGTCTTAATATCTGCTTTGATGTGACACAGTTAACTCAGTAGAAAAATGGACAAGAGTTCTAAGCTGTCATAGCTTTGTATAAAGATAAGGGCACTGGGGATCAGAACAGGAAAGATGTCCCTCATTGCAGCTTCTTATGTGATGTAAATGCCTCCATGAGACACCATTTTACATTTTAGGCACTTTTTTTCCCTCCATACTAGACACTGAACTTGGGGCCTCACATGTGCTAAGCTAATGGTGTCCTATATCCTCAGCCCTTTCTTTTCGTTGCTGTTGTTGTAGTTTGGCTGGTTTTTTGTTTGCTTTTAAATTCTGAGACAGTCTTACTAAATTGCCAAGGTTGACCTTAAACTCACTCTGTAGCCTAGAGAGCTCTTGAGCTTTCGATCCCCCTGCTTCAGCCTCCCACATACTTAGGACTTCAGGCAGGCACTACCAGCCATGACTTTATATTTTAAACAACTAAGCTGTCAAAGAAAACTCAGGTTATCTGGCAATGACATGTGGGCCCATGTAGGTATCATGGGAGGTGTCATTCCATGTGCCTGCCAAAGCCTGTTGCTTGGAGTGGAGGTTAATGTGAGCTGTTTTCCCTCACAACCCTACCCAGTGTGCCTGAGGTCTTTATTACAAGGGGAAATTGGAACATGCATAGAGAGATTAGATGATGTAAACAGAAAAGCTAAAGAGAAGAGCATAGGCTCTTTGTTCCCCAACAGTCCCTAGAAGAACCACCCTGGCCCATTCCTTGATTTTGGATTATCAGCCTCCTTTGCCTAGTCAGTCTGTGGTAATCCATTACTGTGGTAATCCATTATCTCCTTTAGTCAGTCTGTGGTAATCCATTACTGTGGTCCTATCCCAGTGGTTCTCAACCTTCCTAATGCTGTGACCCTTAAATACAGTTTCTCATGTTATGATGACTCCAAATGATAAAATTATTTAGTTGCCACTTCATAACTGTAACTTTGCTACTGTTATGAATGGTAATATAAATACCTGACTGAAGGATATCTAATGGAGTTGTGACCCACAGATTGAGAACTGCTGTACCAAGCTGATAGGGACCTGTTTCTTGGCCTCTGTAGCTCTCTTGAACTGAAATGAGAGTTTACTTTTGCCACTGGCAAGCATGGATGAGGAAACCAAGGTTCCCTCACAATCTGTACTTCTCATCTTATCTCCCAGAGTCTTGTCCTGGCACCCACTTGTGAAGGTATGACACGCTTCAGTCAACCCCCTCCTGCAGACAACTTGGTCCTGGGACGCTCAGGATAACAGCTCAGGAGGCATGTTAAGTAAGTCTTCCTCTAAGCTCTAACTCCCATTTCTCCAATTTGCACTGTAAATGAGTTAACAGCAACTCTTTTCTCCATCTTGCCATGGTGTTAACAAGCTGGGGAGGCTCAATTTTCCTTAAGGCTCTTAGGATGTGCAGGGAGAGTCAAGATGCAGAGAGTCAAGATGAATAAGAGATCTGGAGGTGTGCTCTATCCCACAGGGCCAGCCCCTAGAGGAGGCTCAGGGCTGGACCTGTGCCAGAGTCACGTGACACAGAAGCCCGACTTTGTCGCTACCCGGCAGGAGTCAGCTCGTCCCTGGCCATTTCCCGGTGTCCGCCGTCAGGACCATCAACGGACACTGCTCATCTCGAGGACAAGTTAGACATCTTGCTCCAGGTGAGTTCTGCCGGAAGGGCGCGGGCGGGAAGGAACCCAGGGCTGGAAACAGCTGCAGGCAAAATGGCTTGGGCAGGACCCACAGGCGGTTTCCCAGCTGGTGGGGACTCTGGGCCTCTAAGCCAGAGGACTGGGCAGCGGTGGACCTTTCTGGAACGGGTTGGGATGTGAACAAACTGGCTTGGTGAGGGAGCGGGGGAGGGGGAGCGGACGGGGGGAGGAGTAAAGGGGGGGAGTCAAGGGTGGGTGTGGGGCAGGCCTCACCTCTGGCAGGTGTTTTCCTTGGTTACCTGGAAGTTGCTAGTGAGTCCCCAAGCCACTCACTGCTGCACTGCTCCAGGGGGATCCTTAGTGAGTGTGGGAAGTCTCTGGAGAGGTGAGCCCTGCCTTGCTGTTAACTGCATTACTTGGCAAGGATATCACAGCCATGTCCCAGGTGACCTGTTAAAACTAATGCCATCACTCCTTCCCAGCCATTGCATCTTTGGCTGTAGCCAGGATGGAGGCAGATGGGCAAAGAGGGCCTGGAGATACTGGCACTCTGGGGCAGATGACAGGCCTGGTCCAGGTGTCCTGTTGCAGCTAAACTCTTTGCCCTCTGGTCTCCACAGGCAGCCTTCTGTGTTAGTACCTTTCTCTCTGCTAGTCCTTTGAGACATAAGATCGGCCATGCTTGGAGCTGCCCAGCCCAGGATGGGTGAGATCTGAGGGCTGTGTTCATACTTTGTCTGGCAGGACCAGTTCCTGCTCTTGGCCTTTTGGTGTCATTAGTGCCACTGTGCGTCTCCTGGCCTTGAAGAAAATGAGCATCAAAAAGAAACACCATCTTATCACCTTACAGGACCCTGAAGCCAAGTACTCCCTGCCCTTGATTGAGAAGGAGGTAGTGGGTCACCTAAACCTTCCCCTGGTTAGGTGAAAGAGGAGGACAGGGGTAGGGGTTGAGAATGCTGCCTGGGAAGGTGGGGTGAGCAGTTACCTCAGGACCAAATGGAACACCTTTCTAAGGATCTGGGACACACAGCAAAACTCCTAAAGAACCAACAGAACCTGCCTGAATTATTATTATTATTATTATTTTAAATCAGCAAATCAACCACAACACCCGAAGATTCCGCTTTGGCCTGCCCTCACCGGACCATGTCTTGGGGCTTCCTGTAGGTGAGCAGTGCTTGGTGACATTTCCAAATCTGGGCCTTTGGGGAACATAGCTCCTATTAGCAATGGATTCCCATTCTCATGGGATGTGGAGGGCACACTGATATAATCCTGGACCACATGAATGGAGGGAGATAGGCAGGTAGAGTTGCGGACAGTGTCTTCATTGTTCCACTTGGACTGTCACAATAGCAATACCGGTAGGAGCACTGAAAAGATGTAAGCCTAGAGTAAGAAGGTCTACCATCTCTTTAAAGGATTCTGTCCATGCAGTTTAAGGCCAGTCCCTCAACCTCTCTGACCTTCCGTCTATAAAGTGGCATTTACCAAGGCTGTCTGCTTACTTCAGGTACAGTGGGGGTAAAATGATTGGTGGATGTGAAAACTCAGAAACTTCATAGTGAAGAAACTTCATAGTGCAGGGGTGAGAACAGATGTTCCATTAGAGTCAAGGCCCAAAATGTGTGGGAAGACACTAATGATGCAGAGGCCCTACGTGGATGGATGGATGATCTAAGGGGTTCAGAGACTCACGTGAGGAGGGACCCATGGTGGCAACCAGCCCTAGCTGTCCTCCTCAGATTTTGAGTTGTCCCATTTCCAGTTTCATCCATAACACCTCTAAACCAGTGAGTGAGTCCAGTGTCCTGAGGAGGAATACCTGATAGACAGGGCGTGGGTCAAAGAAGCCTTGCCACTTGCTTCCCAGCAGACTGTCTGACCGGTGTCCTGCTCACAAAGAAAATTCTGACTTCAATTTTGTCAAGCCATGAAATTATAACATGAAGAATCCTGCTGCACCCACCCGCACCCCAGCCCGCTTGCTGCCCCTCACTCTTCTGTACGTGAGAGTGCTATGTCACTGGGCCTTCCATCCCTCTACTTAGCCTGCCACCACCATCCTGTTGGGAGGTGGCATAAAAGCATAAGCCACCTGAGAAATAGAATTCATAGAGACTTTTCTGACCTGCTTTCCCTCCGTCACCAGTGGAAGCACTATGGTCAGTGGGACAGGGCAACCTAGTGGGTCATAGCTCAGCTGAAGTGAAGATGGTTAGAGGTGGGGCCTTGGGACCTGGACCCAGCTCCCTTCTGTGTGGGGATGCAGTGATTGACTTTCTTGGTGCCCAGTTTCAGGTGAGCTCTCAGAAGGGAGCTGCTGCTTCATGCCTGTGTTCTCAAGTGTCCCTAGTACCCAATCAGGCTATGGTTATAAGTTTGTACCTCAGTCTCAAGGGACTCCTCCGCGATCCAGACTTACACTGCTTAACATTATGAACTAGCCTCTCTGTCCTCAGACACCCAACTCTTCCTCCTTCCTTTTTGGCCTTCATCTCTGTCTGTTTCCATTTCTATCTGTATTTCTAATTTCCCAGGCACATTTAGTTTCTATTCCATATGGACCTGGCCTGAAGCCTTTTGCCTCTAGCTTTCAACATCCCTTGATGCAGCCCTGTCCCTCAGCACTAACTGCCTTGGTCTCTGAAGTCTGCATTTCTATGCGGCCCACTATCTGCCACCAGGCTACAGCCCAAACTCAGATGTCTTTGGCTCTTCAGGTCCATAGAATCCCACTCTGGACAGGCAGAGACACAATAAATGTCCCTGTTGCCTTTCAGCAGAGCCAAAGGCCAGATTGCACACACTGCTGCTTTATTTGAAACTGGACTGTCCAGGTCCTGGGACCCTGCAGCACCCATGAGGCTAAACCCTATCTTATGCTGGGACACAGGTGGGGTACTGTTGAATTCCTCTCAGTCTCCAGGTTAGGAAGAATATACTTCATGAAGACAATGGTTTTCTTTAAATGGAAAACTTTTCATTTCTTTTTTTTTTTTTTTTGAGTCGAGGTCTCCCTCTAAACCCAGTCTGTTCTGCAACTTATAGCCCATTTTAGCTTTGAACTTGTCTTGCCTCTGATGCCCAAGTTGCTAGGATTACAGGTGAGAGCCACCATACCTGGCTTCTTTCTGGTATTTTTAGTAGCCATTCCCACCCTTAATTAAGTCTTACTCCACAAGTTACAGTGTGATTGTGGCAGGGCAGCTATTATCAAAGTGAATCTTGGAAGTTCCTGGGTTCTATTTACTATTCTCAGACTTCATATTTGATATTTTGTAGGTAACTATGTCCATCTTTTGGCCCAAATTAACAATGAGTTGGTGATCAGGGCTTACACACCTGTCTCCAGTGACGATGATAAAGGCTTTGTGGACTTAATTATAAAGGTAAACATGCCTGTCTTCCCCAACTGTCTGGAGTCCCCAGGTACCCTAAATGTGGCAGAACAGAAAGCAGTGCTTTTCTCTAAGGGGACTCAGAGAAATGGCCTGGGCAGTGCTCTCCAATAGTCTCATTTATCAGCAATGCCACATTTTACCCTGCAGTGCCTCACAGGGTTACTGTGGTTGGTTTAACTGTCAGCTTGACACAATGTAGAAATCACGTGAGAACAACCTCAATGAGGGACTGTGTATACCAGGTTGTTTTGAGGAAATGTCTGTGGTGGATTGTCTTGATTATATTAGTTGATGTAGACACATCCAGCCCATTGTGGGTGACACTATTCACTAGACAGAGGACACTGGACTGTGTAAGTACAGAGAGTGAGCTGAACACTACTAGGCCATGCAGGTATTCATCTCTCTCTTTTGGATGTGATGTGGTGAGCTGCTTCAAGCTGCCTTGACTTCTTTGCAATGATTGACTTTAACATGGAGCTGTGAGCTAAAATAAATCCTTTCTCCCCTAAATTTTTCTGTTGGGAGATTTTATAGTGGGAGTGGAAACAAATGTTAAAGTGTCTACAGTGAGTGTGGCAGCATTTACTTGCATGACTTGTGATGGCAAATGCACTTTTCAGCTGTGTACAACTGTTGCCAAAGGCTTGGAAGTATAAAGACTTGTACTTGATTTCTAGATCTACTTTAAAAATGTGCACCCCAAGTATCCTGAAGGAGGAAAGATGACCCAGTACTTGGAGAACATGAAAATTGGGGACACCATCCTTTTTCGAGGGCCAACAGGGCGCCTGTTCTACGATGAGCCAGGTACCAGGTGCTGCAGCAGGGTCTCACATTTGGGGATTCCCCTCACAGTTAGAAAATTCTTGCTCTGGTCTTACTGTGCTGTGCCTCAGCCCTGGGGCACATGGGCTTATACTTCAAGTCTTCACACATTTATTCATATAAATGTATGTGTAACGACTTCTGTCACTGTTCAAACTTATTTCAGAGTTTGCATGCTTCCCCTGGAATTTCCTCATTACTGTCTCAGGCACAGATACATAAAAGGTGCCTGCTGGTGTGCATGGTGGAAAGAGTCCACATTAATTGGGTCACCCAGATTCTCCATTTACTCACTCATTCACCACGAATGTGGAAGGTCCTCTAAGGCTCCAAGTTAATTTCAGCTTGCCTAAAGAAAGGCCCAACTGTCCCCTGAGATGCCCAGCCTCGATTTCCACTCTGTGTACTGGCATACCTGAAGTGGCCAGGGAAGCTACTGTGTCTGATTTCCTGTCTTGGAATGCTGCCTCTCCCTTAGCTGGACTTGCCTCTAAAGAGTCAGACATCTTTTGTAGGCTGCCAGACAAGGGCTGCAGAAGTCAGAAACATTCTCTATATTTCTAGGGACCCTTTCAGTTAAAAAAGACAAAATGAGTGAGCCTGAAAAAAAACTGGTTCATCACCTGGGGATGATTGCTGGCGGAACAGGTAAGAGTTTTCTGGGGCTCCTCTAAGACCATTCTAACGTGGGAGTTCTTTGACCCTGCGAGAGGTGACATGAGCGATTCATCCCCAGCTGTGGTGGTGAAAATGTAGACTCAGATATAGAATCTGACACTGTTCTTCTGCTTCCTAGAAGCCATGGGAGCCTCTCAAGTCAGGCCTGTGAGGCCAGCCTGGGCAGGCTTTGCTCACTGGTTCCTAAATAGTGGAAGATCCAGTTCTAGCCTGACTCTCCAAGTCCTTTGAGAATGAACCTCAGGGAGACATTTAGAGTTAGTTAGTATGGCACCATCACAGGCGGTTTTAATACCATATTTACTGGCTATGAATTCTATGATGCAAATGAGGGCATCAACTAGCTCACAAGATGTTCTTTCCCTCATAGCATAGGAGAATAAAAAAGGAGGACTGAGGAGATGGCTCAGTTGGTAGAGTATTTGCTTAGCACATGAGGCCCTGGCTTCAATCCCCAGCATCACATAAATCCAAGCATGGTGGCACATGCCTGTAATTTCAAGTCATTGAGATGATCAGAAGTTCAAGTTCACTGGCTACATAACGAGTTGAGCCTGAGATATGAAACCCTGTATCAAAACAGAAAAGGGGCCTTTGACCTTCTGTTGCATTAGGAAGGAACCCCAAAATGAAGGGTTCTTCCCCACATTTGGGTTTGGGGGGACAGAAGGGAAAATGGTAGAACCAGGGTCAAATGAAAGTGTCAGTCCACTAAAGGCCAGAAACTGGGGCACTGGAGATGGGAGCAGGCTGGCCTGCCCACTGTTTTCCAGGCATCACACCCATGCTGCAGCTCATTCGCCATATCACCAAGAACAGCAGCGATGGGACCAAGATGTCTCTTCTCTTTGCCAACCAGGTCAGTTCTGCTGTCAGCCCTGTGTTTGTCGCAGCAGCATGGAACGCTCCCTGAGTTGGGGCTCTGTATGAATTCATTCCTCTCCTATTGCCTGGGGACACGCTGCTCGGCTGCCAGTGGCTGTGGGAGGCTTAGTGGGCTCAGCAAGTCTGCTGGCAGCTGAAGAAGCTGAGGCCAGGCTTGTTCCATTTGTTTCTGCTTAACTCTCACATTGTCTGAGCTTTCTCCTAATTCCTACTCCGCTGTTGTTCTGAGTACTAAACAATGAGTGTTCCTGGAAAAAATTCTAAGAAATTCAGAAGAATATAAATACTTTGCCTTTTTGTCTTTTTTTTTCCTATACATACTATGTATGTATATGTGACACATCCTCATAAACACATACACATTTTTTTTTTTCACTTAGTGGTATCACATAAGCATTTTCCTTTCACTAACTTTAAATATTCATACCAAAGTCAAAGTAATGTTTTACTAAAATTTCATTCAGGTTCTTTACAGACTTTAGTCATAAACAATAATTATGAGTAACTGGGCATGACTTGGTAACTTTCATTTCCTGAAACAATGCCATAAGTAGAATTACTGGGACAAGAGCCATGGGCCTGCACTCTCGTGGAGCATTGGCCTACTTTTTCCAGATGTGAAGGTGGACTTCTCTACATCACCAGCACTGCCCTCCTCTGGTTCCTTAGAGAAGGCCAACCTGCACTAAGCCCGTGTCTGTTGGGCTTGCTAGGCCAGATCCCTGGATGCAAGGAAATGCCTGCATACCTTTGCATGCAGAAAGTGGTGTGCACAGCCAATCCTTCCAGCTGGAGGGCAGCCACACTGTTGGTACCTCCATTCCACCCCTCAGTCCCGCCAGCTCTTTCTGTGAGAGAGATAGGGAGTAGCAGACAAGGCCCTGGACTCTGACAAGCTCTCTGAGATGAGTGGCAGTTCAGGTGTGAATGTATAGACCCGTATGTTCAATCTCAGGTGGGGACACATTGGCTGTCCCTCGGAGACCATTTGTAATGTTGCTTCTTTTCTAGACAGAAGAGGATATTTTGCTGAGAAAGGAACTAGAAAAAAACACCACGACTCACCCCGACCAATTCAACTTGTGGTACACCCTGGACAGGCCTCCAGATGGTATGACCCATGTTGCTGTCCCTTATTCTGAGGCAGCTCCCACCCTTGTCTGTTTTGCTTCTAAGGTTTACCCCAAAGGAGATTAATCCTCGGAGTCCCTGGTCTGTATAGGGCATGCAAGAATCTGAGTGGGAGGAGACTGGGAGCTGCAGTTTGTAAGTGGGCACCAAGGGCAGGTGCCAAATACCCCCTTTACACTCCACACACTGCACTAAGTATAGACTGAGCCACAGGCTACTTGAACACCTGCCCTCCACATGTCTGCTTCTTGGGTCTATGGGAACCAGCAGTGCAGACTTCTAAGCTTTTGTAGGGAAGCCTGGCCTCCAGCATCAGGGAAAAATTCAGAACCATCCTTCTCTCCTGCTTTGCTCCATTTCAGGCTGGAAGTACAGCTCCGGCTTTGTCACTGCTGACATGATCAAGGAGCACCTTCCTCCCCCTGGGGAGGCCATACTCATCCTGGTATGCGGCCCACCAGCTCTGATCCAGGAGGCAGCTCACCCCAGCCTGCAGCAGCTTGGCTATACCAAAGACATGTTTTTTACCTATTAACACCTTCCATCCTCCTTAACTGGTCCCTGTCTGTTTCAGAGTGAGTTTGGCTTCACCCTGTTCAACTAGGGTATTTGCAGAGTGCCTTTTCATGTACCACTGGGCATGATGTTCTCTTGGTTGTGGGCCTAAGAAGAGTTCAAGGGGCTGAAGACAAAGTGGTTTTTCAGTTTCCAGGCTTGGAGGCTGGGAAGAAAGCCACTTTCTTCATGGCTTAGTGGAATAAACTGGATTACTCTGCATTTAGCTCACATGTGTGTAAATATGTAGGGAATACACTGGGTAGCCAGAAATTGCCAATGTCAGGTATGGGAATGAGAGGAAGTAGGGGTGTTATCAGAACTGGCAACACAGCAATGGTTGTAGGATATAATTCCAGCAGGATACAAACAAGGTCCCATCAACTCCCACTAACCACTCTCGGACTTTACATTTCTCTGACTTGAAGACAAGACTCTTAAGAGGGCAAAGGCCCTGTGTGTTCTTCCTTCCCATGTGGGACACTTTGAGACAGGAATCAGATTAAAAAGCTGCACGTCAGGGCAGTAAATCCACAGTAGGTGGGCTCCAGGAACCCTTTCCTTACTCCCTAAATTTTCTACAGCAGATGCAGACACAGGGTATATATGCATTTTAGCATCCTCCATCTTGACACTGGGGCATGGTAGGCACAGTTAGAAGTTTCTCAATTTACCATTTCCAGAAGCTGTGCTTCCTACCCCCTCATTCAAACCCAGCTGATACAGGTACTGCTAGTGCCACCTGCTGTTCAGAGCAAGAATAACACACTGCTGTTCTGCTACTTCAGGGGGTAAACCTGCTTCAGGGGGTAAACGCCATTTCATATAACTTCCTAAGAAACCAGTAACAAGCTGCTGGGGTTGTTACTCAATGTGTACAATACGTGCAGGGTTGGGGGGAGTGTAGGGTACAAAAAAAAGAAGAGAGAAATGTGGCTCCAGGGAGCCTTGTTATATGCCTTTGAATCTCACTCACAAGGAGCCAAACTGTCTCAAAAGCAACCTGGGAGGGACATTCCCACTTTGATCTACCTACTTGTGCTCACTCTATCTTTGTGGAATGTCCTACTCAGGGAAAGACAATCTACCCACTTTTGCTACACTGCCCAAACAGTTTGACCTTGAACTCACTCTGTAGACCAAGTCATCTGTGAATTCACATCTTCCTGCCTCAGCTTCCCAACTGTTAATAGCTAGGATATAGGTATATGCCATCAGATTCAGTTGCAAAGCCTTCTCCCATTGGACTCATCCCAACCTCACCAGATGTTTCTTTCCCTAGGCCTTCCACCCTGCTCTCATTTTCCAGCCTAACGGTTTTAATTGGGAGGGGATATTGATTTCATCCTCCAGGGGACATTTGACAAAACCTGGGGACTTTTTCTTTTCTTTTCTAACTAGGGGAGGTGCTGATGACATCTGCAGGGAACAGTAAGGATACTGGCCATTGGGAACCTTATCAGGAAGCAATACTACTAGGACTCACTTAGCCCACACAGACTACAGCAGTTCAGCAGGTTTATGCAGTGAGTACAAATGATGGCAGGATGGCACATAACCTCAAAGTGAGCATCTCAGAGGCAAAGGCAGACAGCACAGAAGGGCAGAGTTGATTTAGAACCAGAAGAAAGCATAGAGTGAAGCAAGGACAAATCAGTGGACTCACAAATGCTGGCAAGATGATGGGAAGGGGCTGGCACACCCATCTGTGGGGACTCTGTGACTAAGGGAGTCAAGCTGAAAGGTGACACGGTGACAGAAGTGGAGAATGTCTGACAGGGACCAAGTAGAACATCATGGGCAGCGATTAGATAATAAGGCTGGAACTAGAACTGTCATGGCCTGGGAGGGAACGACGGTTTAGTGGTGCATCCCTTGGAAATCTACAGAATACTAGCTTATATGAGTTTGAGTTTGAAGACTGTCCACTAGGGGGAGGTGTTTGATCAGACATTGCACTTGAGGCAGGTGAGGAACAAAGTGTATCACCTCACCTTGGTGTCTTGGGATGCAGCTGGATGGAAGCTGCTGGAAGAGTGAGAGAGGAGTACTGGCTCTCAGGGCCAAGCTCCTCGAAGTGGAAGTACATACTTCTATGAAGCAGCCCCAGAGGGTCCCCTGCTCCCAGTTACTTCACCCAGCCACTGCAGAACATTCAGAACAGTTTGTACAAATCTTTTTTTTTTTTTTTGATCCAAGCAGAGGCTTTTACGAAATAATAGCTCATTGCCTTTGCTCTGCATCTCACACCTTACTTTCCTCTCCACAAGAGCGGTCTGCAGTTTGTATATAAAAATACAAAAGGTAGAAAAGCTGTAGTGAAAAGGAAGCATTGATGACACAGAGGAACATGAAGATACCTCTGGACATGTCCCATCCCTCTGCTTTTGCACCTGTCAGCACCTACATTGGAGGTGGCCCACCAGCTCCACCTAGGTTTTGTAGATGGAGGCAAACATTTAGGCTCCACACATGCCTCTCTTAGCCATGAAGAATGTCATCTGCAGTCATCAGCATCAGGGACAGCCAGGTGAGTCATTCAGTACTTGGTCCTGGCTCAGTAGAGTCTGTAAGAACATAGGCAAAGGGGCATTTTACAGTCTGTAGGGCAAGGCTCCCCTGCTGCACCTTCACAAGAAACAGGGACCCTGGGAGTGGCCCATATCCAGCATCGCTGACCTGCAAAGGTATGGTGTGCCAGGGAGCCTGAGCATCGAGTGTTGAGCAGAGAGTAATGTTTAAGATAAAAATGGACCAAGGGTGAAGCTTGGTGTACACAAGTACAATAAACATTTGCCTTTCCTGCACAGTGTCCCAGGTTCAAGTCCCACCGCCACCACCACCACCACCACCACCACCTATACGTACACATAAAACTAAGCCTATTGTCTAGGAGGTAAACCTACTATTTCAAGACTACCAAGATTTTACAGAGACATTTTCCTGCATGAGCCAAGAGACAACACCTGTTGCACTGACATACCAACTCTTCTATTTTGCCTTTAGACAGTTTTCTGTATGTAGCCATTTCTTGCTACCTCTGGTCTCCCCACCTGATTATAAGAGGGCTACCATTAGCCCTGCTTTATAGGTAACCAAAACCAGTCTCAGACAGTGGCACGCCTAAGCTCCTAGAGCAAGTAAAAGGCAAATAAGGACTTGAATCACTCCTACCTTTCCCCAAACTGTTTTTCCCTTGGGATCAAGCTGCCTCCCCATGGACTGATTTGTATTCTTGGGCATGGCAGGCTCTCCTAGTTTGCAGGGTATATCCATGATGTCAGAGGATGGTGGGAATACATGTCTTTCCTGGGCCAAGAAGGCAGGATGGTATTTACTGGGCCAGAAGTGAGTCTGGGCTTTGGTATGGCTAGATGGGTAACCTAGGACTGCTTGGGTACCATCATATCATTACCAGCTCTGAGACCAGAGAAAGGATCCAGCACCTTGCATGTTTAGGCCGACTCTGAAAAAGGTCTGTGAGCCTCTAATGCCATGTAGTGGCTCAGAACTAGCAACAGGCCAATGGAGGAAGTCTTTGGGCTGCTGTGTGCCTCACAGCTGGCTCAAAATCTCATCCACTATCAAGCATCGTCATTTCCTCTCCTGTGGCCATGAATGCCACCATACCAAGCTCACCGGGCTTTGCTAGCCATGTCTCAAGTGAGGGAGTCAGAATCCTACCGTGAGGCGGTGGATATCTTGGGAGAGGAGCCCTATCTGTGTCACGGTGCCTTCGGAAGATGCCATCTGTAAAATGGGCAGCAGCCTGGTCAGCACACAGGGATGAAGCCTATGCTGTGCAGACACAGCGGCATGCAAAGCCCCTTCTACTCCAGGACATTCTTCCCTGGAGGGTGGACATGCTGTGTTCTAGGCCCTGAGCAGTGACAGCTGGTGGGACACATGCAGTTTCAGCTCCTGTACTTGCATGCACACGCTCTGCTGAAGCCACACTCAGCATCAGCACTTAGTGTAGAGAAGAAGGCCACAGGCAGAGGCTTGTCAGTCAAGCTCCTGCACATGTCCAGTGGTTCAGCTCATTCAAGAAGCAAAGAGTAGCAGGGATGAAAGCCTCCAGGTCACTGGACAGAAGGATGATTTCCAGGCACAGGACCCCATATACCAATGCTGTGGCATAAGAGGGCATTTTCCGGAGGCTGCTGCCTCTTCGTGGCACAGAAGCCTCCTTCTCATGCCTTCCTTCTCCTCGGGTACTGCTGGCCTACTCCATCTTCCTTAACTGGAAGCTGCAGGCTTGGAGGCATCAAGGGCAACCCTTTGTAGCAGGGAAAACTCGGGTCCATTAAGGGACTTGGCGTTGCATGAGGCCACACAGATTCAGCAACAATATAAACACATGCAAAGGTCTGAAAACGTGCAGCTCTTCACTGGGGCATAATCAACAGGGCATAAAGCCTGGCTTGACCTGCTCTACAACAGCATTGGCCATTGGTTACCAGAACCAAATAATAGTATTACCACCTGGCAAGCTTGTGCCCATTTCTCTCACTAGCCAGACTTCAGGGGAGGTAGCAGCCTTAGGTAACAGACCATGGCTGCGTCTTCTGTGTATTAAGAGCCAGCTGTACAGTATCTGAGTCAGAATCAGAATGCCATAGTGGGGCCATTGGCCCTGCCCTCACTGCCAGATGGATATAGCACTGCTGTTATTCTCCTGTAGATGAAGCCCACTGGACCCAGAAGGAGTCAAATGCTGGCCAGGCTCAAACTGGAATTTCCTGAGCAGGAGCTCAGACTGGCAGATCACACATCCCTTCCTGGTCAGTCTCTGGCCAGACACAGGCCATCTGGTGAGCCCATTACCAGTTAGTCAGTGTCTAAAGCAAGAGGCCAGCTCTATTTCTGCTCTTCCAGGGGACAGAAGTGAGCAAGATGTGAAAAGCAGAGGCTTGCCAGAAAGGCTATCTGTTCATCTCCCCACTCTTCATTCTGAGGCTCAAGCTGCTGAAACAAAAATCAACCTAGGCTCTGTGTGACAGATGTGACCTCTAGCCAGGGTGTGCGTGACACCCAAGCTGCTTCTAAGCACCACAGAGAGAGAGAGATGAGGCCAAGGCAACAGGGCCACAGACATCCTCTACTAGATGCTCCATCCCCTTGGTAGAACCCTAAACTATAGGCCCTTAAGTGGTATAGTCCATTATCACCCTACCTCTAGGCCACAATAAAATTAAAAATGTTTCACATTTTCTACATAAATATTGTTTTTATTTTTATTATCAGAAAGAAGTTGCTGCCCCACAGTAAGGTACAATCAAATGATGTTTTCACCATGGCCTAAATACCCACTGTTGCCCCTTTGATCTCAGCCAAGACTCTGACCCACAGGCCTAAGGCACTTGAATTCTTCCCTCAGCTGGGGCATAGGAGCAGCGTCTGAGACCTGATCCTCTCAGGATTGCCCAGAGCTGCCTCCGCTCATGTGTTTCCAGGTGAAATATGGATATTAAGAATTACTATGTATAATGTCTTCAGATGATTTCCCCTGAGCCCACACTCTTGGCTATAGTCCCCAAAGCCTGTCCCCTTTGCAGCTGTGTAACTGCATATCCTGGCCATCCTTAGGGTGTGTAGGGAGACCAGCCCAAAGGCACACATTTGCTGTTTTCTGCAGGTCATGCACAAGGATGGGGGTGAAATGCAGTTATATGGTGACACGCGGTGTTACTGTAAGCTCTCCGTGCACAGAAAAGGCAGATGACAGGGGCATCAGCTTATCTGTCCCACCTGGTCCAGCCCATCTAGTTCATGGTTATCAAGGGGACTGAGGCTTCGGTAGACACTGTAGACCCTGTGACTGTCACTGACAGCATCACCGGACTCCATGGGGCAAATGTAATCCGTAGATTCATCAAACTTCTTTTTTCTCATGTTTCCAAAATGTGAAAACCCGAGTTTCCTAGGCTGAAACAGCAAATGCAAGATGATGAGAAGAACCTCCAGGGTCAGTATGCAGGCATGCCTGACAATATATCTGGGAGCTAGCTCAGGAAGAAAGAAATGAAAGTGCTGTGGAAAGCAGGGATCCTGGTGACATGTTCTATACTGAAGCAAGGTCGAGCTGCTCCTCTGAGGCAAGCTCAGCTCACTTTCCCCCAATCACTTCCTATTTCCCAGGATGGACTGAGGGGTGCCCTGGAATGCCACTGTCTGCACTTGAGGTCAAGCACAGGGGACCTGTCTCACATCTGGATCCTGGAGGGCCCTGGGCTGGCCCTTCTTCCTTGCCTGGGTCCCCCCCCCCCCCTTGCTTCTGTTGGACTCCCCCAGACATACTACCTGTCCTACATCCTTAGGGAAGGGAGTGTGAGCAGGAGCTGGACCATAGGCGCCAATGAATGCTTGGGGAAGAGTCCAGCTCAGCCACCAGAGGTTATCTGTGGCCTGCGATAGCTCCAGCCTGAGGATCCTACGACTCAGGCTGGACTTTGTAGGAGAGGCCAGAGAGTGAGAGGGGCTTCGATGACACTAGGCTCAGCTGTGTGCTGGTTACATATAGAACACAACAAAAATGACAAGCTGCTTTGGGAGCACTCCGAGTCCTAGCAAGTCCACTGTGACCAAGACCCCCCGGCACTGTGGTCCACAGATGGGTCAGACTGAAGGGAACCCAGAGCTCGTCTGCTTGGCAGAACTGGTGTGGAGAACAGCTTCCCAAGAAGAGCTACTTCCTGGACATGTCTCCAGCATACAGAAACCTGTGCTGTTCTCCTGGGACTCAGGCCAAGTAGGGAATGGAGCTAATAAAGATGAACAGACTTCAAGAGCAGACTCCTGCAGCAAAAGACAAGCATATCCCTCATCTAGGGCTGCACTCATTGGTTTGGCCCAGGCACTGAACTAACAGATGTTCAGCATAAGGCTCACAAGGCAGGCCACAGGGACCCAACCACAAAGGTTCGGACAGCTCACCCGAACTTTGGCTGTGGTGGTCAGAGGTGTGTAGGCAGGTGAGGCCATTTTATCTCGCTTTTCCTGTTCAGCCTCAGAACCAATCAGGGAGTTGAACTTGGTGGTCAGATGGCGCCTGAGGAGCGTCTTCTGTGGGGGTATATTAAGAAGCATAGCTAGGGTGTCCCCAGTGAAGCGTGGCTCCAGGATCTAAGAAGAAAACACAGACAAACCTAGCCAGTGGTCACTGTAGAGGGAATGGGGGAGGGGGAACAGGAAGTACTTGTTCCTGTGTCTTAAGTGTCTCTGGAACATAGGCTGTATTCTGTATCCCACCCACGCTGCCTCCCCAGCACAAGGCCTGGCTTTGAGCAGACCAGCATGTTTGTTGACTGACTACCTCATCTTCACCAGCTAGCAGAGACCAGGGCCTCTGATAAGGCTGTTTTCCAAGTCTTCTCTGATGGCATCTAGGCCACCACCTCCACCACCTCCACACTTCCCTTCTGCCTTTGACACTTGACAGGGCTAAGTGGTGATAAAGATCCTATCACATCAATCAGGAAATTACACATGGTGACCTCCCCCTCACTTCCCCAACCCCCGTATTCCTCTGGGAACAGGTGGAGCTGCCATGTTCAGGGCTGTTCTCATGCAACCGCCCGACTAACTGGAATCCTCTGGACTGAAGCTGAGGGGGTCGTTGCAGAAGCCATCTTAGTTCTTGCTGTAAGGCACTGTAATGTTCCACCAGAAACTACAGAAATACTTTGAGATTTCAAATTCTGTAAAATGGTCCAGATGAAGAACTTCCTTTTTTCCACTACAATGCCTGGCCCTTACAAAGTATGAGGCTTAGCTTTAATCATCAACCTGACAGTGTAGACTCACCTGGGAGGAGAGGTGAGAGATTGCCTAGATCAGGTTGGCCTTCTGGCATGAGTGTGAGGGATTTTAATCAACTGTGTTAACTGAGGTGGGAAGACCTGTTCTGAATGTGGGTGGTAGCATTTCATGGGCTGGCTTTTGAATGGTGTAAGAGTTAAGAAAGGAACTGAGCAGAAGTATGCATGTGTTCACGCTCTCAACTGCAGATGTCATGTCACCAGTGGCCTCAAGCTCATGCTATTCTCACTGCCCTGCAGTGAGCTAAAATAAACGCTTTCTCCCCTAAGTTGCTTTTGTCAGGGTATTTTTTATCATACTACCATGAGCAGAAACAGGACAGGACAGAAGGGTGTTTTGGGAATACCACAGTTTTGCACAAAGGCATGTGGGCTAGCTCAGAGAGCCACTCACAATGAGGCCACCATGGACACCACTCCCACGAAGGTTTGGTGCATACTCTGCCAGGTCCACGGATCGCAGCCACTCCATTACTCTGTGGTTGGACCACTGCACAACTTCTGAAGGAGAAAGGTTACTCTGTGATGAAGGAGAATAAAGAAGTTAGGCTCCATATGGTCCTCTGTGGGGTCAACACCTCTGGAGAGTCTTGCCTCAGAAGCTTCAACAGAACAGTAGATTCTCAGGCCTTGCAACCCAGGCCATCTGGGCCACTTGCCTGAGAGCCCTAAGACCTAAGAAATCAGTATTTTTTTAATTGTGCTGCACCATCTATACTTAAATATCTGAATCTACCATGCTGTTATACCCTACTTTTCTGGCTAATTCTGGCACCAATAAACAAAGACATATAGTTTTTATTCAGTGATTCAACAGAATTTTAAAGATTCAATTATGAGCCAAGAGTTTTCTAGGGAAAAGTACTCCCTGGCATGGGCAAATGTTCTAAGATCTTGAAGCTGGCTGGGCTTGAGAGATAGTTCAGCAGTGAAGCATGCTTCCTGCTCTTCTAAAGGTTCAGTTCTAGCATCCATGCCAGATAGCTCACAACCATCTCTAATTCCAGTCCCAAGAGATCTGATGAAATCTGGCCTCTGTGGGCACCCATATATGTGTGACAGATACACTGTCTACATACTGAACACATGGCTTTGTGGGCTTCAAAAGGCTCATGACTCACACAGAAGGTGTGTAAGATGTACTTGATGAATAGCAAGGATACAGATAATAGAAGGCAAAGGCAGGCACTTTATATCCCTAAAGAACCAGAGTTAGACCAGTTCTCCACAACACAAGAAGTGGGACATGATCCATAGGCTTTCAGTTTGGGGCCTACCAGGAAGTCCTGCCATTTATAGGATCTTATTAAGTATATCACCCATATGGGGTCCTCTGCATTTGTCTATGCTAGTTCCCCTCTACTAAGGTCCTATGCATCTAGGCTGAGGGCTAGTTACTCTTATACCAGCAAGGAGAATAACCCACTCTCAACTGTCCAGTCCTTTTGGCACCCTGTCTCCTCTGACAACCTGGACCTTGCCTCCTCTGCCTACTTTGACACACTTTCCACAATGCATTTCCTTTGTGCTCTCTTTTATGCCATATCAAATCCTTAGATCATTATGAGTGAGGTGGAGGAACAGAGGTTTAGTGACTGCCATTAGACACAAAGTATGGGCACTAGGGGAGTTATAGTACAGGGAACAGGATCTTAAGTATCATGGTCTATTTTGTGATGATGTCATCCTTATTTTCTCACACGTGATATTTTAGGTGTCCTGACACAGGGCCACCTGGACAGCTAGCACGCTCCCTCACCTCATCAGCAGGCCTCCTATGCAAGCAGTGGGGGTTGAACTTGTTGACATGTAGCACGTGAATAGCACATTTGATGCTGAGATGATGTAGTTGGCTGGTGACTTTTAAGAAGAGTAGATCATTCTGGAAAAGAAAAATTTTGGTTGATGAGCCAGAGTCTAACGTAACAAAAGACCCCAGAAGTTCTTTCTTGACCAAACAAATACACCTCGCACATCTCAGAAAGGTGCTCAGAGACATTTTGGCAGCTTCACTCACCACCATGGATTGTACCTGACATGCCTTATGTAATAACAGTACTATTTCAGGGCCTTAGGAATGTGAGGCAAGGAGGGGAATCAAGTGTAAAATAACTAGCTTGGGGACACCTGGGCTGCGTGCTCACTGGAACAACAGATATATGTAAGGGAAAATCCTCACCACAGTTAGGTATTGCAGCATCCGCCCATCAACTCTTGATTCATGAAATTGGTCTTTGTATTGGGGTAAGCCAATATCATCAAGCCACCCTACAAAAACAGACACATTAGGATTCATGAGAACAGATGACACGAATGCCAAGAGGAAAAGGCAGCAAATGTTCTATTTCCCCCAAAGCATTAGTAATCCATCTGTCTTTCACACATAAGCTGCTGTCTTTGAGGCACACATTCTATGGGAAATTCCTTTGCCCTTCAGAATCACCAGAAACATTCTTCATAAATATATCCCTGTCCTTACGTGTCACCCAAATGTGGTCAAGCAGCGCAGACTTCTCCTCTTGCTTGGCATTGATGGCTTTCACTGCTAAAACCAGCTTCTTCCTATGGAGGGGGTGTTTAATTCCTAGCTCCTGAAAGCAAAAGATGAAGACCACATGTGAAGTTTTAGCAGAAAACTTGGTCCTCAGAGAATGTCATGTCAGGGCAGACATGCTCTCAAGGGTGGTAGTAGCACCTGGGGGTAGATGCACAGCGCACTGGGATGTTACCCTACAGCTTGAGGGAATCTCAGCCTTTCCTGTGCACCCTCTGTGAATATGGAGTAAATGGAGGCCCAGGGACTAATCCCCATGCACTGTTCTGAGGGATAATAGGGACTTCTCCTCATACTCAGCCCTTACCTTTTCCATGTCCTGAGGGGTAGCTGTCAGTAGTGTGTGGCCAGATGTCACCCACTGTCTGGCAAAGATCACATACTGAGCCAGGCCGAAATCCTCCAGCCATGCACATACACGTTCTGTACTCCACTGGGCAAAGGGGGCATTTGCATCACTGGGAAGCAAAGGAAGAGCATGCTTCTGTTATAAGGCACCTCGGGCTTTACAGAGCATAAAGCCTCAAGGGAAAAAAAAAAAAAAAACTTTAAAAAGACCCAACAATGTGAATGACATTCTAGCACAACCCACCCTCTAGAGCCACCTAGACAGCAGGTTTTATGATTCAACTGTAGCTTCTCTAAGCATGAGGCAGCCTGATGATCCTCAAAGGACTGTTTAGTGCACACAGGTCCAGAAACGCAGTATGAACATTTATTATCAAATCATTTTGTCCATAAGACTCAGCAGTCTTTGGGTAATGCTTGGGACACTTGGAAAAGACAGTCCATTCTCTAACAGGAAAAGGGGGGAAATCTAAGCCAAAGATCTTCTCACTTAAAACAATGAATGCCTTATTATAAATGAAATACTAGAGGCATTTCCATTATAATCAGCAGCAAGGCATGTGTGTGAGTGTGTGTGTGACTATCAGTACTTATTAATAACACTGGTAGAGAGATCTACCTAGGTAAGGCTGGATAAAAGTAGTACAGCTTTAGAAAAGTAACAATAAAGAACCCAATTCTTTTCATAGGATACGATTTCCTACCTAGAAACCCAGGAGAGCCAAGTCACTGGAGTACGAAAAACAAAAGTATATGTAGGAAAACAAATATATGTGTTTATACATATGGAAATGAGCACTACATGCAAACGTCAGTTTTCTACATGTTACCCATGCAGATACTATGGCTTTTATTAAAACAATGAAAACTATCCCCACTAAGCCAACTAGAATTATAACCTCTGTCAGAGCTGCCTTAACAAGGGGCATGAACGCTCTTGGCTGTGTATGCTACAGTGAGTTGACACAGCTGCAACACTCAACTGAGCACACTAAAAGAGAGAGAGAAAGACATGAATAAATGAAGGGCTGGGTCATGCTCCTAGACAGGGTGCCTAGGCATTAAAAACCATCCATTCTTAAGGACATAAATGTTTCATTTGAAGTGCGAATGTAATGGCACATTCAAAATCCTAACTGAGTCATGGGGGGAGGGCAGATGAAACAATTTCATATTCAGTTTTAAATATAAATAGGGATGTATTGATCTAGAAGATTAGCTATTCAGAGAGATTCCATTCTAGCAAAGTACAGTTCTCCCCTGATACCTGTGGAGGATAGATTCTAGGAGGCTGCTCCAGCCCCAGTTATAAAAATCCAGTGTTTACGTAGAAACTACACACATCCTCTTAAATACTTTAAATAATGCCCAGATTACTTACCACACCTAATGCAACACAAATGGCATGTGCAGATGTCACATTTTATTGTCAGGGAGTAACAAGGAAAAAGTCTGTGCAGATTCAGTACCATTTGTGTAACCATTTGGTTGACTCTATAGACACAGGAGTCCGGTAGACACAGGAGACCTAGGGGCCAGCTGCACCCCTAATATGCAGGAATGATTTTGAAGACTTTTTGAACACCTGGTTAAACTGGGAATTCCTTAAAGGGCCAGAAAGAAGCTAGCATTCTAGAATAAATACTGGTATAAGTACTGAACACTCCTCACTTAGAGCTTGGGTTTCAATAGGGCTCAAACAGGTAGGTTTTATAAGTCTAGGTTGGAGTATTCTCTGTATAAAAAATATAAAACTTGAATACAAAATTGGGAAATATTTGGAATGAGAAAACACTGTAAACAATTACAAATTTAACATGAAACTTCACACACACATAAAGTTCAAAAAATTTAAATCAATTCCTAGCTATAGCTCTGTAGCACTTTTCCAGCCTCACATGTTAGGTGTGTATTTTGACCAAAGCTCTGTAATACTCTACGAGAACAGGACTTCACTCAGGCTGCTTTCTAGCTTGATTACTAATACATGCGTATTTTTGTTTTTATTTTTGAGACAGGGCCTAGTGCAGCTTGGACTGACCTCAGAATTGATATGTAGCTAAGGGTGACCCTGAACTTCTGAACCTTCTGCCTCCTCCAACTCAGGCCTGCTGAGATTACAGGTGTGTACCACCATGCCCACTGTGTACGGTGCTGGGGATCGTATGCAGGACAGTATGCATGCTAGGCAAGTGCTCTAGGCGCGGCTCCATCACCAGTTCTCTAAAGCAGCATCGGGTCCACCATTTACAACTGGCACTGACGTGCATTTTCAGAATCAGTGGTGCCATTTCAGAATATTTCTATTAAGTAACATGGGAGTGGTAGGTAATACCACACAGTAGAGGGTTCCCAGTGTGGCAGCCAGTTCATGGTGTGTTTGTTGTCTGTGTTCTTCCAGCAGGAGAACACAAGATTTATGCTGCTTTTGTTGATGCCATACCTTTTTACAGTGAGCTCACACGATACACTTTATATGAATATTAACTTCTCTCCACCACTTTTTTTTTTCTTTATTTTTTTATTAGTTACATTGTATTAACTCTGTATCCCAGCTGTATCCTGCTCCCTCATTCCCTCCCAAGCCCTCCCTCCCTCCCTCCCTCCCTCATCTCCTCCCTGCCCCTTTCCAAGTCCACTGATAGGGGAGGACCTCCTCCCCTTTCACCTGACCCTGGTTTATCAGGTATCTTCAGGACTGGCTGCAAAGTCCTCCTCTGTGGCCTAGCAGGACTGCTCCTCCCTTGGGGTGGGTGGGGAGGTCAAAAGGCCTGCCATTGAGTTCCTGTCAGAATAGTCCCTGTTCCCCTTACTATGGGAAACCAATTGGTTACTGAGCTACCACAGGCTTCATCTGAGCAGAGGTTCTAGTTTATATCCATACATGGTCCTTGGTGGAGTGTCAGTCTCAGAAAAGACCCCTGTGCCCAGATATATTTGGTCCTTTTGATGCTCCTATCTTTTCCACATCATACAAACTCCCCCTTCTTTCATATGGTTCCCTGCACTCTGCCGAAGGTTTGGTTATGAGTCTTAGTATCTGCTTTGATACACTGCTAGGTAGAGTCTTTCAGGGACCCTCTGAGGTAGGCTCCTGTCCTGTTACTTGTTTTCTCCCATGTCCAATGTACCTCCCATTTGTCTTTCTAAGTGAGGATTGATCATCTTACTCCAGGTCCTCTTTCTTGTTTATCTTCTTTAGGTGTATAGATTTCATTATGTTTATCATATCTTATAGGACTATATGAGTGAGTATATACCATGGTTGTCTTTCTCCTTCTGGGATACCTCACTCAGAATGATCTTTTTTAGATCCCACCATTTGCCTGCAAATTTCATGATTTCCTCGTTTTTAATTGCTGAGTAGTATTCCATTGTGTAAAAATACCACAATTTTTGTATCCATTCCTCAACTGAGGGACATCTGGGTTATTTCCAGGTTCTGGCTATTATCTCCACCACTTCTATATGACATTAATCTCCTGCCTTTACCTCTTCTGATATAATCTGCATTCTGGCTTTTAATTTGTCTTGTTTTATTTTAGTGCTTTGTGTTTTGAGATAACCACACCCATCCTGTGGTTCATGCTGGCCTTGAATTCTTGGAAATACAACTTTCGAATGCTGGCACTATAAATATGAACCCCCATACCCAGCTTTTTAATGTGCTGTTTCTGCATGCACATATGTGCATACAGGCGTGTGTGTTGCACTCATCTGTGGGCATATGCATGTGTACATACATGTGTGTGTACACGTTTGGACCCCATAAGTCAATACTAGGTGTCTTTTATCATTCTCTACCTTCTATTTTGAGTTAGGGCCTCTCACTGAGTCCTGAGCTCACCAACTGGCTAGACAGACTGGCCACCAAGCTCCAAGGAACTGTGCATCTCCAGTCGCCTCCCCGGGCTAGGGTTCCAGGCAGACATGTGCCACCACACTAGGCTGTTCCCAGGCTGTGGGGATCTCAGCCCGAGTCTCATGCTTGCACAGTGGAACTTCACTGGCCGAGTCACATCCTCAGCCCTAGACTCTTTTTTTTTTTTTTTATTAATTACACTTTATTCATTTTGTATCCCCCCATAAGCCCCTCCCTCCTCCCCTCCCGATCCCACCCTCCCTCCCCTTTCTGCATGCATGCCACTCCCCAAGTCCACTGATAGGGGAGGTTCTCCTCTCCTTTCTGATCTTAGTCTGTCAGTTCTCATCAAAAGTGGCTGCATTGTCCTCCACCGTGGCCTGGTAAGGCTGCTCCCCCCTCAGGGGGAGGTGATCAAAGATGTGAAGAGGTTTTAATTTCATTCTCTCTCTTTCTGGAAACTGGGGAAAACATTCTATACATCAGAGAGATATTTCCCTTCTGAAAGAGAGAAGTAAGTGCCTCTGAGATTATAATTTGAAAGCTCCTGTCCTGTGGACGTTTCAAGGCAATCCAGATACAGCTATGTCTCCATCTTTATGGTTTTCCCACTCATTCCTTTGTACATCTCCTCCTACTCATGCTTTTTGTCGTATAGTGTCAGACCTAGCACCTCCACATCTATCTATATTCTGTTCCCTCAAAAAACAACAAAGAAGCCAACAGACCTCATTATGCATAAATATAAAATTACATTTATCAAAGTATCACTATCAGAAGTAGAATTCTGGTACAAGCCCCAAGCTGTCTTACCATAAATGGCAGACATGGCTTAACCTTAATATGCAGAGAGTGGATAGAAATCTGTAACAAATATTAAGTAAAGCTGGCCCATAATACAGAAAATTCACAAACTCAACTAAGATATATGAAAAGTGAACTGACAAAACCTATAAGCTTGTGGAGGTCTGTGAGAGTAGAGAAAAAAGTTGAATACATAATTTTGGTAAGGCTATGGTGGCAACAGCCTCTCTGTGTATAGTGTGCTACAGGATATAAATCAATAAGACCTTACTTACCTGGAGGAATGAAACAATAAAATTTGTTTTTTTCTGTGATCTGAATTTTTCTATAAAACATTATCAAAATACAAAATACTTAATTTTCATTAAAAAAAAGAACTGGGGCTGAGAGCTCTCAAGAGCCGAGTACTTTCTTCACAAGAATATTAGTGGCAAATGTTTCTAAAAGATTATGCATTAAATATCTATGAATTATATGCCAGAGGGCATTGGCATATAATTATATTCTCCTTAAGGGTAATAACAGTCTTCCTCCCCCATGGGCATTATTAAGATAAACAAAACTAGCTCAGCAGAATCTCCTCATTCTTCTTCCCTTCATGAACCTCTGTCATGGTTGAGAAAGCACAAAGACATGCAGCAAGTCAGCCTTGAGCACTACAGCTCCTTCCTTTTTTTTTTTTTTTTTTTAATTTGAGACAGGGTGTACTCCCTGTAGCCTTGGCTGTCCTGGACTAACTTTGTAGATCAGGCTGGCCTCGAACTCACAGAGATCCTCCAGCCTCTGCCTCCCTACAGCTCCTTCCTTAGGCACACAGAGTCCCTGACATTGCTACCCCAGGCCCTGGAGTGACAGGAGCACAGCATACTGGCTAGGGAAATGCCTGCTGGTCTTAGAAATGTTCTTCACCCTGGTACAAGGATTCCTCCTCTATACTCACTACCTAGAGACACAGCCAGAGGTTCTAGTTTATCTCCATCAATGGTCCTTGGTTGACAGATGTTGCCCATGGCACTTCAGTGTCCAAGTGGGTTCCATAGTAATGGGAACAGGGACTGTCTCTGACATGAACTGATTGGCCTGCTCTTTGATCACCTCCCCCTGGGGGGGAGCAACCTTACCAGGCCACAGAGGAAGACAGTGCAGCTACTCCTGATGAGACCTGATAGACTAGGATCAGAAGGAAGGAGAGGAAGACCTCCCCTATCAGTGAACTTGGGGAGGGGCATGTGTGCAAAGAGGGGAGAGAGGATGGGATTGGGAGGAGAGGAGGGAGGGGACCACGGGGGGATACAAAGTGAATAAAGTGTAATTAATAAAAATTAAAATAAAAATGGAAAAAAAAAGACATAGCCAGAATTTGACCAAAGACCTCTCACTGAAGTTTACTGTACCTTTTCATTCTCATCTCTGAAAACCCAGAAACAAATGTCTAAATTAAAAAAAAAAAATTGCTTGGCAAATGACAATATCTAATAATAAAATGTACAGGTAAGCTTTCTTTGGCTCTAAATTGATTGACAACCTTTTAGATTGTGACTTTAGATTTCCTTGCCCCCACAAAGGCTGGTATTTACTGAGGATATACATCAATGATCAGAAGGATCAGCACCTCCCTCCTCCTTTGATCATGCATTATAATACAAGTGTGAGGATATCCATCAGTGCAGAGGTAAATATGAGACGGTCCAATGTCTCCAAATACTATGAGGATCTGGCAAAGCCTTGAAATTTGCGGGTGGCAATAAGTTAAGGATCTCTTTCTGGGGGTGGGAGAGAAAAAGGCATGGCAGGTCTGTGAACAACAGAACACGTTTCAGGAAATGCTCTTTTCTCTTAACTGGAAAACTGTTATTTCTGAGAACTGGTATTTGCATTGTGAGCATTTCCTGAACCTCCTTCCCTGGTGTGTGACAATCATCCTAAGGGCAAACAAGAGAATTCATTTCATTTCGGTTAGATTTTAAGTAGCACATTCTAACCAAAGCTGGCTCTGAAAAAATCAAGCTTCCAGAGATTCTGATGGAGGTGCTTATGTCACAGGGGCTACTGATATGGAAAGGAGTTTCACCACACTTGAGCAACGATCCACAATGCAGGTTTGTGGAAGACAATCTCTCAGAACAGGGAAAGCAAAAGAAGGAGAGTCAGAAGAATAATGGGACCCTGTCCGTTAGGGACACCTCCAAATAAATTTGCTATTTTGTGTCTGTGTCTTTTTAAATGTTTTCCTTTTTAACTAGGGCGTATGAAACTCAGCATTTGATGCCCATGCCACTCATGCTTTAGCGGCCTCCTTCAGTTACCACCTTTCAGTGCAACTTGCCACAGTGCAGTTAGGAGGGATACTGGGAGGTGCAGGCTGCCCTAAGAGCCTCCTCGGAGCCTGCAGGAGGACGACACTGGCCCAGAGGCAGGTAAGAAAGCATGCTCTCTTTCCCAAAAGAGACAAGAGGATGTTGACCCTTGAGTGGTAGGTGGCTGATGCCTGGGTTAAACGAGCTGTAGCTCAAATAATTCTAGTTATTTAGCAAAATACTTAGTTTCAATCCCCACTTCACAAATGGGGAGTAGAGGCTTCCAGTTAGGTGGTTATTGAACGGAGATTCTGACCCAGCTTTGGGATTTTAGAATCTGCTCTGGCTTCACAGGAGCTTCATAACACAGTGTGAAAGGCTGAGAATGAGTGATAGAGGAGCAGAGCCATTAACAGCCCTTCTGATGGTCAATACCATCAGCCTGACAGGAGACAAGTCTCTGGGCACTTCTGTGAGACAGTTTCTAGTTGGGTTCATTGAGGCAGTTAAGACCCATCCTCACTTTACACAGCATCATCCCATCAGCTGGGGTCCCAGGCTAGATAACAAGGAGGGAGAGAGCTGAACACCAGCATTTGTCTCATCTCTTTCTGCTTCCTGAAGATGCGAGCAGCCACCTCAAGTTCCTGTCACCATGCCTTCTGCATCACGATGGGCTTTAAACCAGAATAATCTCTTCCTTCCTCAGATTGCTTTTGTCAGGCTTGGTGTTATTCTGTTTGTTTATAAAAACTAGACATAAAAACTAACATAGCCTTCCTACCCCAACTGTGTCTAGCTGCAAGGAGTCTTGTGCCTTGCCTCAGCACCTGGGAGTGTGAGCGTATCCACCAATATCAGGCAGACAAGTTCTGTATGAAAGACTCCTGCCTTTAGCCTGTGAGGCTGTGGGGCACCCAGCCCTGCTTGCACTACATCCTGGCCAGGATTTCGCAAAGCTCTTTGCAGATGGGCTGGATGGAACCTTACCATTTCTGTCCTTTGGTGTCCCTGGTCCTAGAAAGTCTTGGCCCTGCGGTCGCCCGGAGCCCACCTCGTCGAAACTCTGCCATCCCTGGTGCATCAGTGTTGAAGTTTCCTGACTGAGTTCTTCGGATTCTGCATGGAGAGAAATCCACAGAGACTGTGAGGCGCTAGGCAGGACAAGCTCAGGGCTCTGGGCAATGCCCTTCCCAGCCGCTTTCCTGAAGGCCAGGAAGATGACCCATAGCAGTGCTGCCACTATACTCTAGATTCAACATTAAGCCTAACTCTGGGATCTGGGCCACTCCTCATAGGATCAAAGTGAAGGCTGATGCCTTTGAGGAGACTCCAGTTCTGCCTCTGCTTCGAATAAATCAGCTGAACTAGCACGTACCTGACTTTGGTCTTTAAAAGATTATATGAGATACAGACTGGCTCCTATGAAAGAAGAACATACTTTTTAGAAGCCCAGCTAGTGTAATGTGCCAAGAATGGGAGCAGGGACATGGGGCAGAGAATGCCTAGAATGGAACACACACAGCAAGTACTCCTCAAGCTACACTTGAGGAGTATCTGTCATACTTCTCTGAGTCCTGAAAAATAGCTCACATTCTTCTTTCTGAATGTGACTATTCTGTGTTTGCAGATATGTAAACATGTGATGGAGCAGAGACTCATACAGTATTATCTGCGTGGTCTAAACACACAATCACAACCATTACCACCAACTCACTTTCCCCAGAATTTCTTGATGCCTTTGGGGCTCCGTTTGCCGTCTGGTGTTAGGGGAGACTGGGGGCTTGACTCAGTACCAGACGAAGCAGACGAGAGTTCATTGGCCACCACTACATCTTCCCAAACACCTTCTGTGTCTCCTAAGGTGGACAGGGTGAAAAGGCCCGTGAATGAGTGGGAGAGGGTGCCTTCAGAACCCCACCCTACACCTGAGCTATCCTGTGAGAGAACCCAGAGCACTCTTCCCAGTGCTGTCTTTAGAACTGAGCTTCACACTAAGATATCGGCAGCTAAAACAGTTTGAGAACACCTACAGGGACTCCTGCTAAGAACTACTGAAGCCAGTGTTTTCAATCTGAGTGATTTAGTGTCTTCAAATTCTGAGGCTTTGGAGTCCAAGCAACTGTACACTATTCCAACAAGGAGCTTGCTATTTAGTCAGAGGGAGACTTTGGAATGTGGGAAGGACATCAGACATGGGAAACAAAGGTATTCTCATATTGTACCTTACCTGGAACAGGCACAGTACCTAATATGGGAGCACTGACACTCCAGCCGCGATCTCCAGCAACCCAGAAGCAGAGAAGCCACATGAAGAAGCAAGAGAGGCCAAAGTCCAGCCCAACAGTAACGGAGATGCAAAGAAATAAAAAGTATCACCGAGCAAAAAACTCAAACAGAAAGGAGAGCAACCCCACAAAGGACAAGGGAAAGGGAGACCAAGCCTGGCCCACAGGGTCAGCATGCTGACGCACCCTCAGGCAGTGAGGGTGGAGGTCAGCAGTGGTGGTGGGGGACATTCTAAGCCACAGGCAGACCCTGCACAGATGTCAGCACTCACTCCACTGACTCAAAGCAATCTGCATATAACTGAACACAGTTATTTAAGGGTTTATTTGGAGCTGGGGAAGCCCAGGGCAGAATGATATTCAAGAAATAAAGCATCAGGTGACCCAGGCAACAGCCAGGTGGAGGAGTTAGGGGTAGGTAGGGAGAACTCTGTGAACACCAAAGCATTCCCTCCTGGGCTGCACCCAGTCCTCTGCCGCTGACCATATTTGCCTTGGGAGTGTGTACTGTCATCTTAGTGGTAACATGGGCTGCATCAAAGGCAAATGCAGGAGAAGACCAGGATGACAGAGGAAGGAAGCAGGAGATGAGGAGTAAATGGAGCTGTGGGGGATGGGCGTTGCAATGGTGAGAGGACAGGCAGGGATTCAAGGAAGAATGGGCACAGAGGAGAAGAGAGGTTCACTAACTTGGGAAGCAGCTAATCCACACAGGGGATCTTTAAAAGTGGGGCCGCTGTGGGACACAGCTTGCCCAGGGACAATCTCCACCATTCTTAATTGTTGGCTGCACTTAGAGCTATAGTGACCAAAGGTGTTAGGGACACTGTTCCTGAGGCCACCACCCCAGGTGCTGGACACTCACTCAGCTTCATCAGGCTGCCCCCTGAAGAGTCAAGCGGGGGGGAGGCAGTGGGAGGAGACTTGGCAGCTTCTCCATTGGGCGTGGCTCCTGAGAGCTTCCCAGGTAATGTAGGGTATTTCTGCTCTGCCAGGAAAGAGCTGTCCTATTGAAAGGGGAGAGTGGGAAAGTTGCCAAATTAACCCTCAGACATCAGCTCAAATCAGTGAGGAAATCTTTGTGAGTACAGACCCTTTCTGCAAGAGTCACTTTTCACTTAGTTTGACTCAAAGATCCTTCCAAGAGCACTTCTCCTCGTGCAGGAGAAAGGTAAACATTTACCCACACGGTGACACAGAAATGGCATCAAGCCCAAATCCAGAGATGACTCTAACTGCTCTCAAAAGGGATCCCTGTGGCATTTGTTAGAGTCATGAATTCTCCCTGGGTTCTTCAAAAACATAGTTTGCTAGCTAGGATTTTTGTTAAACCCGGGGGAGAGGAGAACAAGGGTAGTCTGGTCCAGGATTCCCTGCTCTCCCTATCCTTGCTTTCCTGTGTCAGGACACAGAAACTTTTGCTAAGTAAAACCCTTATTCAGACCAAACCAAGGCAGATCTGTACAAGTGCTTTAGTGTAAGCCAGATTGTACTGACCATGGGTGATAAAAGGCCATGCTACAGCAGTGATATTAGAATGTATAGGAACTTGGAATCATTCTTTTTGAGGTACCACTTTGATGCAAAAACCCCGTGGTTGGGTAATGGCTAAACAGAAATCCCATGAAGCTGATTTAAAGAGAAAGATAGCACTTATTTTGCCAAGAAGTATGTAAAGATCACTAACGCTACAAACCTGAGAAAAACAGGTAGAACACATTGCAAATGTGAGGATAAAGAGAAAATAAGATGACATCACTGAGAGACTCAACCATGGATCACTTGATTGGATCCAGGAAAAAAAGTAATATGAGAGGCAGAACCAATTTAAAAACTGGCAAGTCAGAAAGGGACCGGATGACTGCCAAGACCAAGACACCTTTTAAAGCTTCATTCACTGAAAGTCAAGTGTTCCGTACATTTCTGAATTCAGTTTGCTTCTGTGTCCTAGGAACTGTTTGAAATTCAGTTCATTCACTGTACACTGACAAGAGCCTCCACAGATGAGCTCAGAAATGACAAATATGGAAATAGAAGATAAGTTTGTTTAAAGAAATCCATGAGTAGACATGCCAGAACCTCCAGACATGAAGATCATGACATCTTCCAGCTTGTGATGACCTGCAGGGCCGAGAGGTCAGACATGACCAAACATGTGGACCAGCCCAGCAGCTTCCCAGTGCTAGCTCATCCACTGGCAGCTGCCTCACACTCACCTGAGGCACTATGAAAACCAACACCAACTTGCAGGCTCCTCCCTGGCCCTGTGAATCGAGCCCTCTGAAAATGAATCCACTTCAGGAGTTTTAACAAGCGTCTTGGATTATTCCGACACTCAGTCAGATTCAGACCATGGGAAAGGAGTAGTCAAAACAGAATTGTGGGCTGGAAGGATGGCTCTGCATGTAATGGAGCTAGCTACGCAAGCCCAATGACCCAGTTTCAAATCCTGGAACCCACATAAAAAGCCAGATGTGGTGGCATCCAGCACTTCTATGATGAGATGAGGTAGAGACAGGAGAATCATCTGGAAGCTTTTAGGTCAGTCAGCTAGCCTGGAGTGAGGAGGGCAGCAAGAGAAGCAACAAGAAAGATCCTGCTTCAGTGAGGGATAAGGTGAAAAACCACCACCCTAAGTTGACCTCTGATGCGTGTGCTCGCAAAGACACAATAAAATAGTTGTTTTTATTCTAGAGAATCAAAGTTTAAGTTTAGAAAATCAAAGAGCCTGACACCAAGTTCCACTTCCATAAGAAATAAGGACTCTCAATATTTTTTTGTTGTTGTTGTTAAATTACTATATAAGATCCCCCAGGACACTACATAGATCTGCCAGGGTAGCAGAAAGACCCTCACCATGATCTCTGAAGAGCTTAGGTACAAAGAGAATATGTCCTGATTCAAGTGAGGCCGCAGACCAATAAGGAACAGAGGGCAACGGAGTGGGCTCTCTGAGCTCTGCTTCAGCCAAGACGCAAAGCTGAGGGAATGACTCATTGTGGAGAAAGAAGTGCCATGTCAAGGCAGGACAAGGAAGAGACAGGAATACCTAACCCTAGTCCTGTTTCCTATCCTCAAGAATAACCCCAGCTGTGAGGAGCCAAAGAGCAGGGCAGAACCTATTACCCAGCTGCTTTCAAT